GTTTTTTCCCCATAATATCTTCACGGCCAACCTCTGATATCGAAGACTTAAAGAATTACTTAACAGCCGCTACTTTCTCCGTATCTTCACTGCCAACCTCTGATATCGAAGACTTAAAGAATTACTTAACAGCTGATACATTCTCCGAATCCTCGCTGCCAACCTCTGATATCGAAGTCTTAAAGAATTACTTAACAGCTGCTACTTTCTGCGAATCTTCACTGCCAACTTCTGATATCGAAGACCAAAAGAATTACTTAAGAGCTGCTACTTTCTTCGAATCTTCACTGCCAACGTCTGATATCGAAGACCTAAAGAATTACTTAACAGCTGCTACATTCTCCGAATCTTCACTGCCAACCTCTGATATCGAAGACATAAAGAATTACTTAATAGCTGCTACTTTCTCCGAATCTTCACAGCCAACCTCTGATATCGAAGACCTAAAGAATTACTTAACAGCTGCTACTTTCTTCGAATCTTCACTGCCAACCTCTGATATCGAAGATCTAAAGAATTACTTAACAGCTGGTACTTTCTTCGAATCTTCACTGCCAACCGCTGATATTGAAGACCTTAAGAATTACTTAACAGCCGCTACTTTCTCCGTATCTTCACTGCCAACCTCTGATATCGAAGACCTAAAGAATTACTTAACAGCTGCTACTTTCTACCAATCCACACTGCCAGCCACTGATATCGAAGAACTAAAGAATTACTTAACAGCTGCTACTTTCTTCGTATCTTCCCTACCAACCTCTGATAACGAAGACATAAAGAATTACTTAACAGCCGCTACTTTCTCCGAATCTTCACTGCCAACCTCTGATATCGAAGACCTAAAGAATTACTTAACAGCCGCTACTTTCTCCTTATCTTCACTGCCAACCTCTGATAACGAAGACCTAAAGAATTACTTAACAGCTGCTACTTTCTACGAATACACACTGCCAACCTCTGATATCGAAGACCTAAAGAATTACTCCGAATCTTCACTGCCAACCTTCATATCGAAGACATAAAGAAACTTAACTGCTACTTTCTTTTGAATCTTCACTGCCAACCTCTGATATCGAAGACCTAAAGAATTACTTAACAGCCGCTACTTTCTCCGAATCTTCACAGCCAACCTCTGATATCGAAGACCTAAAGAATTACTTAACAGCCGCTACTTTCTCCGAATCTTCACTGCCAACCTCTGATATCGAAGAACTAAAGAATTACTTAACAGCCGCTACTTTTTCCGAATCTTCACTGCCAACCTCTGATATCGAAGACATAAAGAATTACTTAACAGCCGCTACTTTCTCCGAATCTTCACTGCCAACCTCTGATATCGAAGACCTAAAGAATTACTTAACAGCCGCTACTTTCTCCGAATCTTCACTGCCAACCTCTGATATCGAAGACCTAAAGAATTACTTAACAGCTGCTACTTTCTCCGAATCTTCACAGCCAACCTCTGATATCGAAGACATAAAGAATTACTTAACAGCCGCTACTTTCTCCGAATCTTCACAGCCAACCTCTGATAATGAAGACATAAAGAATTACTTAACAGCTGCTACTTTCTACGGATCCACACTGCCAACCTCTGATATCGAAGACCTAAAGAATTACTTAACAGCCGCTACTTTCTCCGAATCTTCACTGCCAACCTCTGATATCGAAGACCTAAAGAATTACTTAACAGCTGCTACTTTCTTCGAATCTTCACTGCCAACCTCTGATATCGAAGACATAAAGAATTACTTAACAGCCTCTACTATCTCCGAATCTTTACTGCAAACCTCTGATATCGATGACGTAGAGAATTACTTAACTGCTGCTACTTTCTTCACTTTCTTCAGTACCCATTACGTACTTCACTGGATTCTATATTGAAAGACTACGCAATCATGGTCAACACATCTTGCATCACGTTGCACGGTATTGGCACCCACTGAATATAAAAACCAGCATAACAGAGTGGGCCAATATCTGACCTGGAAAATCTGCAACGTTAACGGAAACTAAACTGCAAGAAATTGGAATGAACACCCCCTAGACCTGGTTACAGAGATAGGACCTGTAATAATTTATGGTACTTTGCAATACACACAGACGGAGCAATCACATCTAATCGCCCAGATATATGATAGGAAGACCACAAAAACAAATTGGACCTTCTTATTGTAATATATCTTTGAAGTTCTTCAAAAAACTACCAAAATACAAGGATCTTGAAGTGCAAATCTAAAAAAAAACACGGCACATGAGAAAGTTAGTAATTGCGGTTGTAGTTGGAGCCCTCGGTTTGAGTGGAAAAGTTTCCGATAGATTCAATGAAGGGATTCATTGAAGCTCGCGTCTTAGCAAATATAAAAAAATGTACTCACAAGCACAGTTCACATTTGACGAAGGTCTTTATCTATATTATTTACATTATTCGGACTATTGTCCTCATCTTTGTCGCCATATTTATCACAACGTCTACTTTCTCCGGCCAACCTCTGATATCGCCTAAAAGAAGAACTTAACGGCTACTTTCTCCGAATCTTCTTTCAGGTGGTTGGAATGTCGAATTGAACCCTTTATTTAACAGCTCACTGGGGTAGAATGTTCTAGTTCCACGTGCCATGTTCAATTGATGTCAGTTATTGTTATCTCCTGTTAATCCATCTTCCTCTGTTCGAAGACATAAAGCCTTAACCGGCTACTTATCCGAATCTTCATTGAACTCAAGGACACATGGCACAGTGGAAAAAGGCGTTGGTTAGATCCAGTGACAGGAACCTGAGTGTGAGTTCAATACCCGGTTAAGGCAGTGGAGAACTTTCAGAGGGAAATTAACAGGACGGCCGAAATGTTGTAATAAATATGGTGAGAAAGATGAGGACAATAGTCCAAATTATGTGCACACTTAAGGATTATTTTTAGATGCCAAAATGTAGGGCCGAAACGTTGTGATGAATATGGCGACAAAGTCCGAATAATGTAAATAATGTACATAATACCTCATCTCAGAAATATAGACAGGCTTTATCTATGTAGAATATGTGTTATCATAAGGCTTTTTTTTTTCTACGAAAATGCTCAGCGGAAAATATCATGATGCTATTCCTAACTTTAGGTCTGTAGTTGGGAGTATGGTACAGAAATCAATGGAAATAAAACAATAATGACGATAATAATAAAACAATAATGATGATAATAATAATAAACTGTGAAATAGCCTAGTACCCCATTGCTTAAGAAGTTTTTATTTACTTCAGTCTCCCTATTGAGACGAGATGTGGCACAAAGTTGTGTTTAACGTCGGGTATCCAAGCGCATACACTTGGGCCAAGGGCATTAATTGTTTATGAAGTATGTATTGCTTTGATCTGAAAATATTCTAGGAAATGTGCTATTTATTTGTGGTCGTACGAGTTGATGGGGAACACGCATAATACAAGATCTTTGGTTGAAAGTACGGAAGAAAAGATAATAATAATAATATAATAATAATAATAATAATAATAATAATAATAAAAGTCGTTTGAAGTTTTTAACTACGCCTGAAAAAACAATTTATTTTTAGCGTGAATTCGAATTGATCAATCGGAGATAAAAATGAATTGGAAAGTTGTACATTTTCTTTTTGATGGAGAATTTTGTAAATATATTTTTTTTTATAAAAGTGATAAACTGATTGCATTTACATATTCATGACTTAAAAAAAATGCCT